GACTTCACTTTTAATACGTTTAACATCGAAAGTAATATTTTGTTTCAAGTTTTATCAAACGATCGATTAAATAGAAAGACAAACATTTCAATTAACTTTTTTCCAGAAATTATACATTTCCACAAATTATATCCACAAATTATCTTACAAAAACATTATATTTTAATAGCTTATCTATATTTACACCTTTAAGTATATAACTTTGCAAACAGAAAAATGATGTTCTTACCAGAAGTATTATACCAAGAGTGAACAAAAACAATTTTTAAGAATGTAAGTTTTTATTTATCTTGGTACTTGACCACCTTGGTGCTTTCCTTGTCCATATAATACAATATACATATTGTACAACCAGTTCTGCGTGTTACTTTTCATCTTCTTCTGCCTCATTTTTCCCACGTGAGTTTTCTTTCCATTCATTTATTTATAATAGTTCACGTACTTATTCGTCGTATAGAAACAGAAACAATAAGCAAACGAATTACATTGCAAAGAAATAGGGGGATATATAGGGTTCAACGAATACCTAGGTCTGTTTTACAACTTAGACTATACAGAGTATTGATTTAAGTATTTCAGTTTCACGTTGTTCTGCTAAGCGTGGAGAACGACCGGATATTTTTTTCACGATTATGTGGTTGATGGGGAAGTTCTACGACCTAGACCTCTCCCTTTTTCCCCACCTCTCTCTTACTTCTACTGTCTCAGGCACATCGAATGTTCTATCTGAAGTGTTATGTCATTTTTGTTCATCTTAAGTACATGCATACTTAATATTTATTGTTGATTTAGACGTTTGTTTTATTCTAGTTAATTATATTTTCTTTAATGTGAATCAGTTTTTCAATGTGGAATTAGACATGCCATGTGGTGAGCATATAAGCCATGCAAAACCATGTTCCGCTCGCTCGTAAACGGTTTAAAAGCTTTCACTTATCACCAGTTTGTTTGTAGATCGACAAACGGCGCCTAATAACGGATTATTAGTACCAGTACCACTGATGGGGGGGTTCTTACTCTAACGAACTCTCTACAGGCAGACCGGAAAAGAGTATGGAAAAACCAGATTTCTTCATTTTTACATTTCCCCGAGGCAAGTACTTCGAGCCTCCGTTTAAACTCTAGTCTTTGGTTTTCTGATTAATTGTAAGGAGTTTTGCTCTCGGGTCCAGTTGGTACTGGATTTATATTATTTCTGGTGAAGTCTATGATCAACGACACCATTTTGCGGTCCCTTTGTCGAATGAGACAGGTAGTACCGGCAGGCAGGTCTTTAACACGTTGAATGCCGCGCGCATTTTACGTGGTTTGTCCGTAACGCCAACATGAATTGTCGCCATGTTGTTCCCGGTCACCGGTGGCCCCCACGGCACTGAAGCCAAGTCGAGTGCCGGCCACCAGTGACCGGCAGTCAACGTGTTAATATTAATGTAATAAAATTAATTCACTCTCCTGTATAAAAGACAATTTGAACCACGTCACTGTATTTCAACTCCTAAGCTTCTTAAAAAGAACCAACTAAATACGACATTGCTCCAATCACTTCCGAACTGTCTGAATGACAACATAAGAAAACGTCTTCAACCGTTTAGCGTACGCTGCACTTATCTCGAGATGGACTGTATTTTCCAATCACACAGTTGAAACTAACCCTTTGCGATCGACGACTTTTTCGGCCGAGCGAGGTAGCAGCTCGAAGCGGTTTTCGCAAATGTGTCGAGTGTCTTATAGGTACAATAAAATGATCTTATATACAAATTATCTTACAAAAACATTATATTTTAATAGCTTATCTATATTTACACCTTTAAGAATGTAACTTTGCAAAATTAAGTTTTGTATTTTACTTTGGTATGACAATCTATGAAACATTGACCAAGATGGATTCTTGGCTCATCTGGACATGTATCACAGTAATGAGTTGTTTCGTATCTTCCACTTGGTTTGTTTCGAGTAGAACAAACTTTTCAATCCTTCTTTGTTCCAGTAAGAATCACATGGAGCTTCTTTAAGCTCGATCACGTGGCTGTCGGGATTAGGTCATACTTTCAAACATTCCATTATTAAATACAATTATTTCAATATATTTTATCAGGATTACCAATCATTGGAATACATTATTCAATAATTAATAATATAAGAAATTATTATTAATTATTATTATTAATTGTTTCATGTATTATTTTCCATGTTTACATATAATTGGATATCACGAAGCAGGGTATTGTACAATGAGAGATATATTGATCAATTTCTTGTAAAGGATTACAATTTACAATACCTAATTGAATTTTTCAAAAATATTAGGTACCGGAGAAATGCCTTTATCGACTCGATTTTGGTATGGTTCCTGTTGCACATGACCCCTTCTGAACCCAGTGGTGTGATCGTCGTACATTATCATATTCCACCCACTCTTCATCACAAGTTAAAAATCGATTGATAAATGGATATTGCAAATGCTCAGCCGGGAGTATTTGTTATATTCTGTTAAACGGTGCGGTATCCATTTGCCCAATCTTTTGTGAAAATTAAGTAAATTAATTCACTTTTTCTTGCAGTAGATTCTTCACATTCGAATACTTGAGCAAGTTCAGAACATCTTTTTCTTGGATTTGAACTTACGTACTCGATGAATTTTTCCGTCTTCGATGACAGATGGACGCCCTGAACGCGGTTCGTCATCTAGCGATTCATTTCCTTCTTTGAACCTTTTAAACCATTTCTGTGCGGTTCTTTCACTAACAGCACCTTCCCCACAAACGCTACAAATGCGTCTTGCTGCATTTGCTGCTGTACTGCCAAGTTTAAATTCGTAAAGAATAAAAGCACGAATTTTTACTCTTTTGCTGTCCATGTTTACTGTTCCTATAGCTACACAACAACGAAACAATTGAACTCCACAGAGCATGCGTATCAATTACAAAGATCAAGCTTTAAAATGAAACCAAACTCATGTCTTACAGTTGCCAATTACCACACGAAAATCGATATATAGTTACAATTAACGAATAAACCACACAAACATTTTCCGGTACCTAATATTTGAGATTGTATTACTTTATGCATGATATTTATTCGAAAATCTCCTTTCAACTTGTTCACTAAAATTTCTCAAAATTGCAAATGTATCGATTGGAGGTAACGAAATCTAACATGAACACCGACCTTCGCCTCTTGATCGTGTGGGGTGGACGGTGGAGCAGTGTGTAGCGTAGCCGACTACCTCGCAAAGAACCCGGGTTCGAATCCCGGGCCTCCGTCCCAGTTTTTCAAGGTATGGCAAAGAAAAAAGTATCGAAAGCCCGTGGCTTATTTGGATGTAAGAAAAACGTATAATAATATAAATGTAATGAGATACATACATATGTAACGGATTTCAGATAATTTATCAGTTCAAAACGCTGACAATACGAGTACATTTTCATTATTCTACATTTCAAAATAATTCTTATTCATCAAAACCTTGACCTTGCCTGGCCACGCCAAGAATTTGTCTTCCAGGCCGCGGACGTCTAGGCAAATTTTTAAACAGTCTCAGTTTGTGGATGATACACTATTTAGCTTCTTCATTTCACCGCCAAAGTGCGGAGCAGTCACTTTACATGAATCGTCATTAAAGTCTGAACGTCTGCACTGTTGAACACAGTATTTTAGCTGCGCATAGTTGGAAAGCACCGAATTTGATATTATGTTACACAGTGTCACCTTTGCACTTTACTGGAAAGGACCTTCATGTACTGGATGCTCATTTCTATTTCACATCTTTTTCTACTTTCTTGTAATTTTTTATGGGGATACATATGTAACGAAAAAAAGGAGTGCAATATGTGCACAGCTGCACATGCACTTAAAAAATAAACAACGAACGCCTCTCAACCGCAAAGGGCTAAACATCTTTAGATCAACGCGTATCGTAGGAAACTGTTAGTGTCCATATTAGCACAATCTCTTCTTCGTTGGATACCAAATGCCAGAGATAGTACGTCCACGCTCTTATTGGACGAACTGTGTATGCTACTTCCGTATTTTATCTTTCCCTCTCTGGTTTCTCTCTCGTCTCCCAGCCGACTCCTCTCTTCCTCGTTACTTCGAGAAAAAGTCTCCGCTCTATCCTCGCGTTTTCCTGTTTTCCCGTCACCAGATGGCAGCTTCTTGTGCTCCTGCTAGGCCAGTTTCTCGCGAGGCAACCGCGACGGTGACCACCTTGGCTTCTCGCTAGAACAGCCGGTGGCGGCCAGGCAACAGCAAAAGGCTCAGAGATACTCCGAATAAGGGAATCGCAACACGAGACAAGTGCGCGACTGGAGAACCTCGAGGATGACCGATGAACCTAAGTTCGTCGACCTGAGGAAGAAAACCGCGGGACCATTACTAATTGCTGAGAGCAAATATCGGTGCCAAGTGCACGTTGCCGTTTTCTGCGCAACCGATGTTCCCGCGGATGTCGCGCCAAAGAATGGCGCAACATGCACGCTGTTTTACAATGGTCAGGATCTCTACAGGAAAAAGAACTCGTTGACATCGGGTTGAGGTTTTCTAGTTGGAATAGGTTTCCTGTTAGCTAAATCGAATTGCAAATTGTAGCGCAACACAGTGGCTGGGATCGAGAAATTCAGTTACATTTGACCAAAAACTTAAATTTCTCGTATCGAAATATAATATATACAACGAAGAGCAAAACTTAACAAATTCCAGCACTTTTTATGAAAATTATTTATTATTATTGAAAAAAACAACGTTGATCATTATTTCTTTATAGTCTCCGGAAACTTACACTATTTTATAACGTTTAAAATCTGTTCTCCTTTGACTAGAATAATAAAAATTCATAGAATCAGTTTTGCACTGTAACGAACGAGTCACAAACAAGTCACAGGGGCCTAGCATACATAGGCAAAATGTTTCAGTACGGTAGTTGTTTGTTTACCTCGAGAGTCCTCTCGTACCGATAAATTCAGTTTACAAGTGTTATTCGAACTGTGAAGACATTATATAAAGTATTAGTTACAATGAAGCCCAGCTCCCATATTATATCAAACAAAATTATTTCTCTTCTACGAGATGGTCCTTCAACACGTAAAGTAGCTAAAACGTGTGCTGTAAGTCAGTCTACTGTTCTCTGATTACGTACAAATACTTATAAGGACGTGTTAACTTCAATGGGAGAGCCAAGAGCTCTAAAATGTCAAGATGAACGAAGAATTGCTCGTTATATTACATGTCGTGAGGCAGAATCGGCAACCATGGCTGCTAAACTGTTATTAACCGTTTGAGTGCCAAGGAGCGATACATCGTATGTATATCGCTCCCTTCGTACACTTGGAAGAATCAATTCTGCTTTACAAAAATAACATCAATATCTAATACACATAGTTTTATTTTTGCACTTCAATTTTATATGAAATACCGTAACGCGTGTAATATATAACAGCTGATAAATATACATTGTTGTTTACAATCATGTATCTTTGCTTAAAATTGTCTGGCATTTCTCGGATATCTATGAAAATTTCCTTTGGCACTCAGAGGGTTACAAGACACTGGAATCAAAATTAGTAAGTGGATATCAGAAGAACACTTAAGAAAGTTAATTTTAATTCTTGCGAAGAGAAGAAAAGGCCTGATGCTGTCAAGAAAAAACATTGAAGCTCAACTGTCTTTTGCTAAAAAATATAAAAAATGTTCTGCTTTCTGGAAACGTGTAATTTGGTTGGAAGAAACAAAAATTAACAAAATATCATCCGATGAACGTTCTTGGACATGGACTCGCAAAGGGGTATCTCTTGGTCTATGTCATGTGAAGCAAACTTTTTGTAACAAATTTTTGTGATTGGTTCAGTTTTGCTCCTCACTGTACGTATTGCTTGCTAGCGTTCAACTTTAAAAACGCAAGAATTAATAAAATTTATATTTCTTCTTACATAGAATGATGAAAGGATTCAATCTATGCAAAAAAGAATATGCATTCCAAAAATAATGTAACTATCGAAATCATATGTACCATTGCACTTACAGAAAAAAATATGGTCCTACAAATATAGAACTTTTTGAGCCATTCATCTTTTCCGTTTATTGCTATAAATTGGGACTGTGACCAAGGTCTTAATATTAGATCCTACAAACACCATGCGAATGGATTCTAATTGTAATTACACTGACACTAATTACAGACTAATAGCGTGTTTGCGTAACATGGTCTTGAAAAAAATCTCTTAAAAGAATATTCATGTCCGGTGTTCGTTGATACTCTCAAAGTAGCTACAACTCGTTTAACCGTTTGAGTCTCAAGCAGCGCGATCGCGCTGTTCAGATTTTGTGTCGAGAAAACCCAGTACTCATTTAGAGAAAGCGCGGTTGCGCTGTTTGGGATTCTTCGACAGTGTTTTTTCAATACTCCCTGAGACTCAAACGGTTAAAATAGAATTAAAAAGTTCTTCAATTTATTTTGTATAGATTTATTATTGGTACAATATTAGTTCCTTTTTTTTTTCTTATAGCTACAAAATTATATTGGCAGAGCACTTTCAAAAGCAAAGATAACTTATTATTATCAATAACAAAATAAACTGTTTCGTGAAGTTAATTAAAATACATAGAACTCCATAATCTTAACTCAATGTAAGTTGAGTATAATGTGATACCTACATACATATGTACATGCTAATTATTAAGAAAAATCTCAGAATACTTCAAAGCAATTCACTTATCCACGGATTACTTCTGTTTATATTATAAATGTAATAATTCATTTCAGTCATCATAAAAAGTTTGCTTTAATAACATTAGCCCTATCAACGTTTTCATGAGGTTACGGTTGTAATCAAATCAATGTGGTATACAAACTAAATTTAGTGGCTTTATCTATGTATATCAACGATTTATGAATGGAAATTGAAACGTACCGTCTCGACCCTTCATAGGCTCTTATCAGGCAATGAAATATATGTTTTCTCGTGTACAATTTTACGAGAAAATCAGAATTTGTTTTCTAAATAAAAAATCAAAATTGTGTAAATTTCTACGTATACGTAATACATGCACTTTTTTTATACGGGTTTTATGTTGCACTTGAAAATAAATATATATAAACATACTATGAATGAAATGTATAAATACATATATACTGTTATATAGATATATACGTACTTTCGTATGTTTGTCATTTTAAATGTATGTGAATGTACATATAGATACATACATATATGTATATACGCACGTACATATTTACGCTACCTAAATATATTTGTATTTTTTATTTAAAAAATATACATGTACGTATAAATAATGGCTTTCCAGAAGGGTCCTTAGAATATTCTGTTATAATAACAAATGAAATGATAGATGTATTAAGCCTAAAGCCTGTCTCGGTAAACCCTTTAATATTAGTCCCATTACCGTGAACTGGAACCGTTTTTGTTATACATAGAGAAACTTCAACAGGCCACGGCATTCTCGAGAAACGCGTCGAGCTGTTCCGTAGGTTCGATACCTAAATTAGAATCGGATTTCTAAAGTGCATCCGAGCAATTTCGTTGAATGGATGTGCACGAGCATGGATATACACAACTAACTGGCACACGGTTTACTGGGAGTATCGAGGTCCTCGGCCATCGTTTCAAAGCGGACTGGTTCGCCCACTTCTTTGAACCCTGAAAGGGTTCCCAGTGTAAGAATTCTCACAGCTCGGGGCCTCGCTTTCGAACAAATCGGTTCTTGAAATCGATAAGCTACCGGTGGCCGCCCTTTCGTTCCAAAAATGTTTACGACATATAAATTACCCGATAATCAGGATCAAGGCTAGAATCGGCAACGGGAGGGGAGAACTGTAATCATTCTGAAACGATCGCTCCCGTGGACATAATGCCTGTATTTTTGTCAAAGCTGTACCCGTTTGACGATTACGTATGCATCGAGATTACAAACTAACGGAATGTGCATTCACGTATCGATAAAGTGATTATCTCGCGCCGTATGAAAGCATTTTTAATCGAAATGGTACCAAAAACTTCGTATTATCACCGCTTTTCATTCTTTACTTTTAAACGTTGAAATCGATAATATACTACGTGCACTGTAATAAATCATGTTTTAAACTAGGTTTTAGGAATATGCAAACTATTACGCTGTATCTATACAGGATGTGACAAATAATAGCTCCGTTATCAGTTTATTTAGGGAAAAATGTCAAAGGAAAAAGTGACTGGTTCAAAGAGTACTATATTTGTAGGACCTTGTTTTTTTCATACGTGCAGTGGTGCGTGTGCAATCGATAGCTACGTTATTTTTTTTAATGGAATTGCATGTTTTGCGTATATTGAACCTTTCTTTCGTTCTACATAAAAAAGTATTAGGGTAAAATGGTAACAGAATCATTTGTTGATGAAATATTTTAAAGAATGTTTGTTTACATTTCCGATTACACATTACTATATTGAATAAATAACACCGTCACGGTATTGATAGTAGTCCACACAATTATTTATCATATCCAAGATGTCTATTATATCATTGTTGAACTTCGAGGCGCGAAACATTCGTTCGATTTCAAATGGACGGTTGGCCATGTTCGAAACGCGTTGCACCTGCGAAATTAATTGCGCGCAATGAAAGTCGGAATTTAGTGCCGGTACGGCGGTCGTAATCAAGTATTTTGGAAGTCTAATAAACGATGAATCGTAAAAACAACGTCGTAAGAATTCAGTAAACTGGTTTACGCAACGTGCCGAGCGTGTAGACGCGATTTCTCGACGCTGGTGATTTGAATCGTTCTTTTTCCTTTTTCTTTTTTTTTTTTATTAATAAGCATTTTAAACCTCGAAAGCTATTTAATTACCATGTCATATATACTGCAATATTAATATATAATAACTCTAAAAACTGATATAATTACGTTTTATATAATGTCTGAATAAAATTTATAATTTTTAAACTTCAGTTTTAAAAAAATCTACAAAAACATAGACGAGGTAAACTACGTGGTTGTGCAATTATAAATTCTATACATAAGGATAGATATCATTGTACGTTTTGAGGTTTTCTAATTAGCTTCGATTGCTGCGTGTTGCATTCGATAGTTTTCGCTCATGGACTGCCACCTGCGCGGGTCAATCAATTTCAGAATTGCAGGAACGCAGAAACGAGCGCTTGGAAATACCTTGCCTTAGGGACATCGGAGAATAAATAGCAGCTCGAATGCTTCTTTTCATGCAAATTGCACCGGTACCCGTCGACACGGTAAGAAAAATTACTTGGTTTGTCTCATTCTTCGCAGAGTCCGGTCCGTTGAAACCAAAAATACACTTCTGGCATCGCGCCAAAGCGAATGCGCGCACGCGGTGACGTTCTCGCTTCCTTTTCCTTCTTTTCGCTTAGAAGAACTTTCTAATTTCCATTATAGACCCTTTGAAGGAGATTCCACGAATGTAATTTGACCGTTTTTTGGCTCTTTTCTGCTGCAACTGCAGTGGAATCTATATTAATATTATAAAGAGGTAAAGTTTATTTGTTTGTATGTAGCGGGTAATCTCCGAAATTACTAAATCGATTTAAAAAATGTATTCAGTAATAGAAGACTACACAATTCCTGAGTTACGTTGGCTATGTTTTAATTTTATAAAAATACGTCTTCAATTTGAAATCTGAAAATTTCCAAATCATGCAGGAAGAAAAGTGTTGCTTGGCTACTTTACCGGCGTACGCTGACCAAATGGTTAGATGTAGTATGTAAAAATAACGTAGTACAAAAGTATTGGTTATCAATAGATTAAAAAAAAAATCAGCGGCACGATATACCTAGCTTTTATATTTAAACCACACTAATGTTTTTTATGTTAAAAATGAATTGAAAATTATAAGGGTGAACTTTAAAGGTACTTATTAGGTATAATATATTAATCTTTATAAAAAAAGAATCATTTTATCATCTAGAAAATTTCATGAAGATAAAATTTGCCCTTTACAGCGTATTGTTTGGTCACATGGTTTAGGAGATAATGAAAAATGAAAATAGTTCACAGAGAAACGAATTACAGGTCATTCAACACATGACCGAATTCGTGATTAACATTGATATTTAAAAATCTATCTCAACATTACACCCAGTTAAATGCGTTCAGCTCTTACGAAGTACCTAACTTTATTCTAACATAAACACTACAGTAATTATTGCGCCAACGTGAATAAGAATAATATTCCACGCGAAAAATAATGAGAAGTACACAAAAAAAATTTGTTTATTAGTTCAACATATCTACTATTTTGTACAAAAACATCGACATTTCGCAATTATTTATTATGTGCAATAAAATTAGATGACAATGCCTCGTTAATTTAAAGAAAACGATATTATTCATGGGTACCACTAATATTTACATTTGTCAAAAATTCATAAAATTTACAATTTTAATCCTAGCGTAACGAGGAGTGTAAGGTATATCTTGCTTTGATATCGACCTATCTGAAATTGTTGGCAGAGCACGTTTCTTTTAAGTATCGAAGGGTGGTCGAGGAATGCGTTATCGTTGAAACGAAAGCAAACCACGATCAGCCGCAGAAATACCGGAGCCAATACAAGGATCGTAAAGGTACGAGCCCTCGGTTCGTTCCAAGTTCGAGGAAAACGAGACACTTTAATGATCTTTTGTAACGTTGGAATCTCGTCCAGAGCTACGAACTTCTTCCTTTATAGCTTCGTCTCTTTACTGCGATGGAAAGAAAATATGTGAACGCACTGCGGATGAACAATAATAGGAACAGTGATGGTTACAAATAGTTTCCGAGGAAATAGCTTGTAACGCTTTACACGGCTCGCCCTGTGCAGTAGATTGTCCCGAATGTTTCTTTTGTTGTGTACCACTAAAAATCAGCACGTTAGAATTAGGTGACGTTCTTTGCGAGAAGTAATTATCGTATTACGAAAGAAACCGTCTATATTTTTCGATATGTCCATTGTGCGTTGAATAATGGACAAATTGGCGAAGGATTCGTCGTTGGTGCGAAAGTACCATTGGCGTTGGTCCAATTGCTAAAATGTTACAGCCACTTTCGAGGAAAGAGGGTGGAAAAAAAAGTATGCCGGTTACAAAAGAGCGAGGTGACGGGACGAGTTCACCGCCACTGGAGTCGATCCAAATACTTTCGTCTTTTCGGGAAGACGATTTTTATCAGGGCCTACGTGTACGATTACGTTGGAAAAGATAAATGATTGCACCCGAAGCTCTGCCACTGTGTGATTGTGTTCCTTTTTGTTTCAGGTACGTATCCCCCTTTCCTTTCGTCTGTATCTTGGCGGCGATTCAAGGTAACGAGCGCTTCTACTTATTTCGTTTTAATGCCGTCGCTTGTTTTACGCGTGCGTTACTCTGTAATTACGCCAGCTTCTCGGGAACAGTAGCTTCATTCTTTATCTCGAACGATTAATATGGTTCTATGAAAAATGTTAATATAGAGCATTCTTGATCATTATACCGCAGCGTACCACTGCTGGCAGTCAGTTCAATGAATTTTTATATTGTACGATTGTTAACCTTCTATAAGCCTGTGTAGCTTTCTGGTGACACGTTAATATATCGAAATATTTACCAAATAATTTTCATTCGTTCACAAGATGACGTATAAATCTTAATTATATAATATTGATGACTAAAGTACCAAAGTAAATGTCTTGTAAGTTGTCTGGAGAAAGAAAGTTCGGCCCATAGAGGGTTAAAATAAACATTATAATTTAACAAAGACGCGATACGTTTCACGAGAAGATGCTTCTTGATGTATGTTTTCATTTTTGGCACGTCTTCATATTCAGAAGGTGAAACCATCCCTTAAAGTTCAGAGGCTACTATACATGTTTGAATTCGTCTTTTTATCAGCTACAAAATTACAATACTGAAACTATTCTATCCTATTAAAAAAAGAAAAAAAAAACGGCATTGACTTTGAAATCTTGGAAAATATGACAATGACATAATTTTGTTCGCCTATCATAGTATGTTCCTCACTGAAGCAAATTATTTTCCTCTTGAGATATACCTTTGTGTCATTAAAAACAACGGAGATATTACAGGGACAAATCTTAGGTGACTCAACCTGTATATTGTCACCTGTCAGATAGACATAACATTGATAATCGTGTCCCATAGACGTAACAAGATAACAGTATTAAATGACACTCGAAGAAGTATGATACAAGAAAAATCTCAAATTAGCAACAGAACCATAGATAAGGAGAATCATTTGGAGCAAAAGTCAGTCTAAGTGTTTACTCCGAAAAGTCTAATTGTAAGTTCGGTTAAAGTGTGAATCTATGTCTAAGGAAAGCAGTCTAAGAAGTCTAGTCATGTATGAAACCGTTTGCGACGACCACATTTGTAATAATTATATATTTTAACAAACATATTTCGTGTAAATATACAGATACGTATATATAAAATCTATAAAGTAAATTTTCATACTCAGTCCTGTAGTATTCGCGCCTCCCATACCCAGGGGTAAAAAGTCAAACGAGAACACGAAACGTGGACTGTCAACTGTGGATTCGAGGATCGTGGGTTCGAATCTCGTTCTTGGTCCCCCTTATTTTTCATCTAGACTCCTACAGTACTATACATCACTTACGAAATAAAGAAATTGCTTGATCGAATAAGGAGTAAAATCCTTACTCTTGATGCCTTTTAAATTGTAATATCTCGTGCAAAATAACGCAATAAATTGATTCAGTTCATTTTCCCGAATTAAAGAACTCGATAACTTAATCGTTTCGACCATGGTATCGTACTTAGGCCGAAAGTCTGGTCTATATATAAATTATTTAAACGTCTTCCGTGAAGGTTCCACTCTGCCGTTGAACGACCGACGGCCCCAATTATCGCGATTACCCCAATTAAATGCATGGCCATTACGAATCCCTGAAGGGATAAAAACGGAGAACGCCAGAGTGGAAATGAAAACTAATGGCGCATGTGGGTCGAAAATCCTCCTCCGTTGATAGGCCTACTTCACTAGATATCTTTAATTCGAGTGAACGACTCGCGCCAGCATCGCCCAATATCATCCGTCATCATAAATTTCGTTACTGCAACTTACTTACACGTATAAACGACTCTTGCATTCGCTGCTTGGAGATCATTGTATAATAACATCGTCGCCGACACGGGCCACCAACGTTGCGACAAGAAAACACAGCGGACGCACCGCCTCGGCAAGAACGACGAGGAAAGAATCGCAAATTACGCGAACTGTGTTTTCCTCGCACGGAAACCTAACCTTTTTCCTAGCTCGTGCGTAACATGCAGTAGCTCTTCCTTTCGAGATTGAATTTTTTCCTCGGCACCAAGGCGTGGATTCATGCTCATCGCTATTCGTTTTTGCGGCGATGGTAGCCTACCGACCGCCGACAGCGTTCTTTGTAGCGAGCTGCATCGAATTTCATTTTCTACTGAAAAAGCTAATTGTAATAATTGAAACGGTTTGCTTAGCGAAAAACAAGTAGTTAGTTATATAGTTTTTAACACATTCGCGACCGCTGACGTGAATTCACGTCACTTCAAATTCTATTCCTGGTTATGAGAAAATTATGAAAATTTTTTTATTTTATTCACTACATATTTAAAACCTTGATACAAATTTGCGATGTCGCTGTTCGTAATATTGTTTATCAAAGCAAAAATAATGCTTGTGAAGGTTTTACAATCTCTCTTAAATATTATCTGATTTGAATTATAGTATTACAATTACTAAGAGTTATTTTATTGTATATGAAACCTATTATTTAATAGATGAAATTAGTGTTTTAAAATTTGTACCAAACATTCATGCAAACAGACAAGTTAACTTATTCAGCGTGAACTATGAACTTAACTCACGGTACATGACATGAATCAAAACATTCTACTACGAGTCGAACTTGTAATTGTTAATCTCAGACAATTTTAGGTCATACTTTCAATATGATATTCCATTATTAAATAGAATTATTTTAATTTTATCAGGATTACCAATCATTGGAATACATTATTCAATAATTAATAATATAAGAGATTATTATTAATTAAAACTTTATGTATTATTTTCCATTATTACAAATAATTGGATATCACGAATCATCGTATTGTTTGAATGAGAGAATATATTGATCAATTTCTTGTAAAGGATTACAATTTACAATACCTAATTGAATGTTTCAAAAATATTTGAGATTGTATTACTTTATCCATGATATTTATTTGTTTATACGTATCGA